GAGCATAGAGATCTGGGTGCCATTTGAGACTTTGGAGACGGGAGTTACAGTGAAAGTACGCACTGTACGCAGATGCAAAATGGCATGCATGGTTTGAAAAGGTCAATGCTGACATGGCTCATGGATGGCAGTTCTGAACTTTGACCCCCTGACAGACCCTCAGGTTCTGGGGGGGTGGTGGGGGGTTGTAAGGGGGAGCAGGATGGGGGGTTTAATGTGCTGAGCTACAAAACATAACTACTGCTGAGTCAGTGAGCTGCTGGGAATCCTACGCATTTTAGAGCAGCAAACCTACCATCTACAGCTAATCCGAAGACCATGACACGCAGGAAGCATTGTGAGCAATATTTGGCATCAAGTAAGATAAGTTATATTTTGTTGGTATATATATATATAGAATTAATCCTTGAGCTAACTAAAATCAATTGATTGAAACGTTATCCTACCTCTGCGTAAGGCAATAATGATGTCTAAGTATTTGGACGGTCACACATATAAACTACGGTTAGCTAAAACAGCTAAAAGCTAACCTATAGCTAAATTGGCCTTATGAGCAGAGTAGAATTGTTGACTCTTATCTACCTCACTTCCCTTTTGCAGGGTTTCGCTGCTTTCCAACTGTTCAGCCGTTTGAGAGAGAGAGAAAAAACCTGTCTCCGTGTAGATCTACTTTGCCAGTTTCACTCTCAAATAACATCCTTATAACGTCATCGCTGCAGTGCTGAGCATAGAAAGCCCTTGTGTGCATGCCTGTCCTTTAAAAAATTAAAAGCCCTTGCTTGGAGAAAAGCATTTTTTCCCCTTTCACAGTCCATGACAACTGCTGATGTTGTAGTTAGCCTGCAAAATTAATATTTACATGTGGAGGACAGCGAGAGCGAAAGTCCACGTTGATGCACATTTGTCCCGTTCAGCTGCCTGGATGGCACTAAAAGACGGGAGATAAAAGTGTAGAGTCATAAATAAAACAGTACGACGGAGGCTGAAAGCATCTTTTTGTTATCAGGGTAATAACTGTCCGAGTTGTGGTGCCGTGACATCACACCGGTGGTGTGTCGTGTTCACTTGATACGAAACGGCGCAAAGGAGGCTTAAAGAGGTACCAAAGAAAACCCCAAAAAAAATCTTTTTTTTTTTTTTTTAACTGTTTTCACTTAACTTTTATAGCATCTAATCTTGGCTTCTGTCTCTGCAGCAGCTTCACTTTCTTCTACATTCTTGTCTCCTTTGTTTTATGGCTATTTTGCCTCCTTCTTTCGTCTTCTTTCACAGTACGTGCGCATGTTGATGGCAGGCATAAGCAAGGAATTAAGTTCTAAACTGAACACAATCTGTCGCGCGGCTGCAAAGTTGCCGCGCAGCGTATCAGATATTGGAGGTAGCCGTAGATTACCTGTGCAGAAGTGACAAATAATAGTGCAAACGATAGCTACATATACATTTTAAATGATCATCGTTATGGCAGGTGGAGAAAAAAATCTTTAAAAAAAAATGCAGCAAAAATTATTTCAATTATTCTAGAGACAGAACAGCACAGATACAATATATACAAAAAAGTCACAGTGACAGTAATTTTAGAATTTCAATTCACTGCCACACTTTATAGTTTTTTCTTAATTATATGAGCGCATTAGTCTGACTTGTGTAGGCTTTTGTGTTGCTTCAGTTCATAAAACGTCCACATGGGGCTGAGTTCGCTATCGTTTCTTATTCTTACGCTGCCTCATGAAAAAGATATGTTGAAGCTGCATTGTAAAAAAAAATTGGTTAAATTAATTTCTATCGGAAGATTTTAAGTGTATATATATAAAAAAATACTGATATTTTTCACGACTGTACACTAAAAGTACACGCAGCCCATTTTCTCCCCTACAGTGGCGGCCATGTTGGATCGATACGTTTTTGACTTTAGCTCGCTGAAGACAAACGTAACACCTGTGGGGTGTGATTACTAAACACAACCATGTGACGCCACCTGCAGGCTGGCACAGGGGTTTGTGATATGAGAAATACTCAGTCACCGCTAGATGTCACCAAATCCTACAAAGTGTACCTTTAACGGTAATTTAGCAGCGTCCAAACGACCTAGCAGTGTGTTGTTGTTTTTTTTTTTACTCTTGGAGGGAGCGGTGTGATTAGTGATGCTTTTATCTCATCCATGCAGAATGTAGATCTTTACAGAGAGACACATGGAAATGTATGGAAGTGTTGCTGCACAGATGTTTGAAATGTGATAGGGCATGACAGTCTGCAAGTAACAGCCTCTGGAGATGTGTGTTCAAGCTGAATGTGTGTGTGTGTGTGTGCACATACGAGGGGAATAAACAGGAGGGCAGGCTGTGAGTGACAGTTGAATAAATGGGCGACGGATCCTTCCATAATGTCATTCGATTTCTCTTTCCCCAAGTTGATTTGCTGCATTTTTTCATTTTCAGTCGCTCCTTCTGTGTGGAACGGAGCCTTGTTATACTGTTGGACTGTTGGGGGAATTGTTTGCAGTGTTTATTTTTACAGCTGGATATTTAGGAAAATCTGGATGAGGCAAGTATTTCAAATAAAATTAAATGCATTTCTGGTTGATATGGACCAAGAGGTAGTGGGCAAGACCTATATGTGATTGGTTCAATATCTTCTTTCTTTTTTTTTTTTGCTAGAGCTTAAAGCATTTTCACAGGTCAGTGGTTTGACTCTCTATTGTACTGTATGTTAAAAACCAGAACCTCCACAGAACTAGTCCGTGCGTGACACCGATGGAAGACAGGCCCCAGATCCAGAGCCTCGGAGGAGAAGGGGAGGTGAGGGGAGATGTGGAGTCGTTCAGGGAAAAACATAGAAGGTGGGAGTTGATAAATGAAGGTGGAAAGATAAGATGGAAAGATGTTCGATCGTTTCTTTGAGCCTCGGGTGAATAGAAAAAAAAAAATCGGGAGAAGACTGGAGAAGCTGAAACCAAAAGTAAAAGGAAGCACTAATGACCCAACATTACTGTGGGAAAAAACAGTTTTGTTGAATCATACCTAATTTGTTTCCCCCTTAACTTTAGCTCATCTGATGTCTTTATATTCTTTTTTTTTCTTCCTTAATGAGGCAAAGAGACGGGGTGTATGTCGTCAGGAAGGAGATTAGCTCGGCCTCAGTTCAGTCACGAGTACGACCGACTGATGTAAAGAGAGTATATATACAGTATGTATAGAAATCAAATGCCTAGTGATACAAATGTGCTACAATAACACGGACAAACGGCGTCCTCCGCTCCTGCTGCCATTCACCTCAACTGAAAACAAACTCATCTCTGACCTGAGGCGTTGGGACGCTCACTTTTTAACGGTATGGTAATCACAGAGGCAGCGCTCAGTGCTTTCAGCCGGACCCCCTGCGCTGACCAAACTCTGCTGCTCGCTTTAGTTCACATTATTTTCAGCTAAGGAGAAGTTGCCCCGCACAGAAAACCCACTTCCATTATGCTGGGGTAAAAGTTCTTCCTCTTTAAAAACCGGGCCAGAGGAGTCAACGTCTGAAGGTTCAAAGTCACGGACGTAAATCAAATGTGGCTTCACACGTTTTAGGAGTTACACGTACGACTAGAGTGATATGTGGTGAAGTGGAGCTGGGAACAACTTCTCCTTTAAAAACGCCACACACTGATTCTGCTACCAGGCTCAGGATTCACAGTTCAAAGGCTAATTCAAGTTCACAGTTGAAGTTTATCAAACCCCCCCGTTTCCCACCCTGTAGTAACCCTGTGTGGCCCCTCCCTCCTCTTCTGATTGGGTGATATGAGACCCCAGCACCTCTCACACGGGCGTGGTCCTGCGGTTGGGGTCCTTGCTGTAGTCTTTAGTGAGCGTGCTGCTCTGGAGGAAATCCCTCTCTGAGTTGAGCAGGCCGCCCATCCCGCCGCCTGCTTTGGTGCCGGCGTTGCCCGCTTCGCGGGGGTTCAGCGTGTACATGGGCAACTCGGAAGCGGCGGGCCCCGTGTAGCCGCCTTTCCCCAGCGGTGACGTGTCACGGCTGGGGGCCTCAGAAGATCGAACGCTGGAGCGGCGCCGGAAGCGGTAGCGGTAGGACGGGATGCGGCTGAAGGTGGACTTCTTGATGAGCTCGGTGCGGGACTTGGCCCGCTGCTTGCGATGTTTCTCGATGAACATGTGGACGGCGAGCACGCCCACCATTTCTGCCATGATGAAGGAGAGGGCGCCAAAGTAGAAAGACCAGCCGTAGGAGTAGGACTTTTTACTGTCGCTCTGACCTGGGTCGCCCGAGTTGGCCGAGATGTAAACTATAATTCCAATGATGTTACTGAGGCCTGGGGAAAAACAAAAAAAAAAAGAAACATTATGAGCGCTTCTCTTCATTACCCAGGAGACGCCGTTTGTGTTCTTTTCTCAAATCAATAAGAAAATGAGGGTAAAGCGAAAAGTTCTTCTTAACTTCAAAAGGAAATTAAAAACTAAAACACGATTTTTTTTAATACTTGCAAATGATCGGTCCTGAAATCAGAGCAACCAAATCATCAACCGTTTAACGTTTAAACTAATGAAGTTTGAAACATGTTTTGATCTGCAGTAGTTCTGTCAGATTTTTGTGTGCTGTGTTTTCCAACCCCACAACCCTCCAAAGGATTAAGCAATTTAAAAAAATGTATTAATAATAAACTCGATTTGGGTCGAGCCAAAGAAGCAGGTTGTGACCTGGTGTGTACGACGTTCCCTCCAGAATTCTCCAAAGAAGGAATTCTCTGATGGAAACACCTCTTGCAGGTTTTAAGCTCTAATTTGTAGAGAAATGAAGGCGAAAACTTTCCGACATCGTCTGAACTCTGTGGCACGTCTGAAGGCGACTGATGTGGCAGATAATGACAGCAGCGGAATGGGAAGCGAAAGAAAGAGAGGGAAGTTTGAAGGAAACACTGAAGAGAGTCTCCGTACGCAGCTGCGCTCTGCCATTCTATATCATTAGTCCACAACGCAGTGTTCACGCAGCGTGGAGGAACGCACAGAATAGGGACAATTAGCCGGCTGTAATTAACCAGAATCAGCCCTACACTGTTGTGGTAAATAATTACCAATTTGGCTTCATAAATTTACAACAAATCCTAATGGGACCCTGCACATCCCACTGAACAGCAATTATAGCCCTTTGTATGTCAGGAGCTATAGAGCATAAGTGTGTGTTTATGAGAGACAGTAAGTGTCAGCATACATGTGATGGATTGTGTGTGTGTGTGTGAATGTGCATGTGCTGGCGTGTTTGCATACTCACACACCCACAGTGCATCGGTGCACACTGTGGTATTCTGGCTGATTGATTAATCAGCTCTTGTATTCACTCAGTGAAACTGAACAGGCTCCTCTGTGTGTTTTAGACGCCTTACAGGCTGCTTCAACAAATATTTGAAGTGCTGCCTGTCACCGAAAAACTCACACAAACATTTGCTCCCTGAGACGCTGTAACCGACCTGATCGTCACGCGGCTTCTTAAAGGTACAGTACGGGTGATTTTGGTTGTAAATCAGACCAGCGGCTCTCTCTCTTTTTTGGTCAAACCATGGAGTCTGATTCAGTTTCTCCTTCTTCCAGTTAAAGTCCTGTCATCAAACTTCTGTTTTATTTACTCAGTGTAACTAAATTCTGAATCATCACGTGTTTTCGCCCAAACTGTTGTTGCATCATATCCTCCTCGTGCTCCTCTCTCTCTCTTTCTTCTTCCTCTAAATAACTTTCGTTTTATCCTCCTATAAATGTGAAGCCAGTTTAGTTTGGGCTTGTTAAAGTTTATCTGAGGAGCGTACTTTTACTGCAGTTCCACTCTGTTGAGACCTGAAAATAAGCCCTAAATTTGCACAAACAGACAAATGAAAAGAGACACTCTCACCTGCGGAAACAAAGAAAATTCCAGCGCTGAGGATGACGTTGTGTCGACTCCGGTAAAACTCACTGGCAGCTACACACAGGCCTCCCAGGAACAACAGGCCCACGCTCATGATGGGGAAGATACTGGAGGCTCGCACTGCACCTGTGGACACACGTTAAAAAAAGGAATATCAGAAAAAACAAACAACAAATATGTTGAGTGAAGACTGAGCCTCACAGACTCCAGAGTAAAAACTATTTTTATATTCTTTGGGTTGAAGTAGAGGATCCCGAAAAAATCAAATGATTTGGTTTGACAGACAGTTTGACTCCTGGTTTAACTGACAGCCCTCGAACACAACACGGTACAAAAATATCTCCTTCCTCTATTCAAGGGTTGCATCAGGACACAAGCAGGAAAAGTTTGATTGAACACAGGTTTCTGTGTGATTTTCTCTGATTCACCGCAGCACTGGGAATGACTCAGTTTTTACATTTGTATTTTTGGGGTTTGGTGAAACAATTTGTTTGAAAAAGTAAAATATTGTAAGGTTCCCACGATGAGTTTGGGTCTGTGTCTGTTATAAATGTTCAAAATGCTTTGTTTGTGACGAAGAACCTTCGTCGTTGAAGGACCTGGTCAAACGCGGCAGAGAGAAGATGACGTGAGGTATTTTGACAAACACAACACGAGCGTGAAACTCCCGTAAAGATCAGATCAGTGTCGGTTCTTCAGCGTCACCGTAAGTGTGTCTTTTCAAATGTACTGGAGGACAGGACGACCATAATGAAAAATGTGTCACTCACAGTGTGGACACACACACACACACACACAGTACTGTTCCGTACACACATGACTACTGTGTACCGATACATGCTCGAGTGAGTCTGAATCTAGAGCATGTTAAAGTGTTCAGAGGCGCCGTATTGAAACCAGGCAAAGAAAACCAAGAAATATATGCCATATATATATACATATATATATATACACTATATATGCAGTACATATATAGTCCCTTTAATCCTCAACCTTCTTATTTTAATATATTTGATTAAAACAAAGACAGCATGTAGCGACGGTTGCTGTAACCGTTGGCATTTGTCCATTGGTTGGACATACAGAACCCCTCCCCTTTTGTCCCCGAGAGCTGTATGAAATGCCGGTCACTGGGTTTTCACTCTCCATTGGCTGGGCAGCTCTGAGGCCTGCGATCTGACTGGCTGCCTCCGGGGATGTTGTTTTGTGTTCAGTGGAGCAATGACAAAGAGGCACAGGCGGCATTTCCTGCTGCTCTGTGCTGTCCATCTGCAGCGTCTTTGAAGGTTTCTGATTGAACCTCCTTTTTTTGTTATCTTTGCAGCAGTGTGTCATTTTATGTTTGTCCTACAGGATGTTTGACGTATCTTGAAAAAAAAAAATAAAGAAAGATTTGCATTGAAGTTTTTTGTCTGTTGATATATTACGTTTCCATCGCAACAGCAGTCATCCTGGTTCTTCTTTGTAAAAGATAAACGTGACGTTTGACATTTAACTGAAGCAAAACGTTACATCGTCCTCCTTTTCTGCTCTTCCCTTCAGCCGTCCTCCCAGTCGACCTCCTGCCTTCTTCCCACTTTGTCCCTTCCTTCCTTAAAGTTTCCCAAACCACCTCCGTTTTGTCTTTAAAGCTGCAGACGAGGCCTAAAAAAATCAGGCATTGAGGAAGAGAGCAGCTGTCGTATGTTGGACCGATGACGTATCAGGATTTGAAAGATTGAAATAGCAAGCGTTGACGGACAGAGGACGGTCAAGGTGTCAAAAAGAAATTGGATTTTCCCCCAGTTTGCTCCAATAAGTGTGTTTTGTGCACTATATTTTTTTCCTTTGTTCGCCACAAACTGAATTACTATTCCAAGGGCAGGCAGACAGACGAAATAACATGCCTTGGTAAGAGAGTGAAAGCATGAGTGCCTTCATTTTGCACCTGCCATGTTATCTTGTGTAACTTTAAGTGTCCTCAACCTCAAACCCTGGCATGTTTTTCTAAGTCCAAACCACAATCCCTGCGTGCTGCCTGGAGATAACAATGTGCTGACAATCCTCTCAACGCTTAAAAGTATGAAGGTGAGAAAATGACAAGTGCATTCATCAGACGAGCAAAGACACTCGTGTTGGCGTTCTGTTCTCGGCCCGTGGGATAAAAACCTCCGTTCTTATCAGGGATGTTTTAAAAATGCTGAATTCTTTAGGTGGAATCAGATAAACGCTCATGTTTAATTAACACCGTAGAGAGACATTAATACAATGCTGTGCTGCTTTTACATACTGACGTTCCCAGAAAATGTAAGTGAAGGGTCCGCAGCCTGAGGCTGAGCCACATCACGTGTTTGGATGGGCTCTTAGCCAGAATGACCAGGATTATAAGAAGATTACAGACGGAGCACGGCTGTAAATATTTATTAGCTTGCTTGCTAACAGCAAATTTACATCACTCCACCGTCCCTCCTAATGTGAGATCAGGTGTGCAATTTGAAGGTAGAGTGAGTGTGTCGTGTTTTTGAGGCTGCAGACCCCGGGGCTGATCTGATCTGATTATGACTTACGGAGGAGGTATTCTGCAGCGTCTGCTTCATAATCAGCATCTTCTGGAAAGTGGTCGATCTTCTTACACACTCCTCTGAAGGTTCCTGCAGAGGAGAGAGGGAATATTTAAGGTTAAATTAAAAAAATGAATCGATAGATAGATGGATGGATGGATGGATGGATGGATGGGTGGATGGATGGATGGACAGATAGATATGCTATGATGGTCAAAAGTAAAGAGGTTTCACTTCAGAATTCCAAACTAAATCTCCCTCAGACCAAAGTGATTTAATTTTAACACATGATTTCAAAAGAGTTTGTTGGAGCTGATATTAAAATTCAAACTTCAATAAACAAAGACATCAAAGCATGTATTGTGGCTGTAGCAGCAGCAGCAGGCAGAGGCACCAGCGGAAGGCAACAGAAAAGAAGAGCCGAC